TTGCAAGCATATGGCACTGCCGTGCGGACAAGCAATCGAGAGGCGAGAAGCGAGGCATGCCAGCGGGCAAAGGCAGCCCGGCTTACCATCCGTGTCGAATGCAGTGCCCGTTGCCAGCTTGATCATGACATCTGCCTGTAACTGAGAGATAACACCTTCTGCCTTCCACAGGTCTATTGCCAAAGCCAGAAACTTGCTGAAATCAATGCCTGCTTTGCCCAGCTCGCCCTTCAGCCGCGACCGCTCGGAGCGGCTGCCGGCGGCGGCGCACCGCTCAGTGAAGAAGTCCTTGAACTCCTCCCAGAACACGATGGAATGGCAAAAGAACTTGATCTCGTGGGAGTAGCCTGACTGAACGGCGATGGCGACGCGCGCCTGTGGATGTGCTTCACAAAACCTTTCCCACGAGTTGAAGCGCGACTTCAGCTGCTTAGCTTGGTTAGCTGCACCGCTCAATAGCGGCGTTGGACCTAGAGCCTTGCTGCCGGACTGGGCACCATGCTCATGTGTGCTCATGGGGGTTGAGTTCGTTGGAAAAGCGTATTACGGTTGCTGGGATGCCAACAGAACAAACGGGAGGGAGAATGATGCATGATTGAGGATGATGTCCCCAATGACCCTCCAGGTGGGGGGCCATCATGCCCATCATGGGGCACATCCTTACCGGGAGGCCTACCTGCCTACCTGAGCGCAGACATTGTAAGGTGTGAGCATTGCGAACGCAGGCGGCAAGGAGTCTATGTTGCGAGGTAGCTCTTGCTGAAAATAGACTGTAAGCCCCCAAAAGCAAGTGGCAAGTGGCTGCAGTACTGACACAGGCAGCAGGGGCGGGATGCTGCCAGCGGCCGGGAGGTCGCTAACCGTGGGAGCGGTGGGGTAGCCCTCAGCGAGCGCCTGCGCGTCGGGGGGCCAAAGCGTCAGGATGGAATCAATAGGGCAGGAGTACTACTGGCCGCCTCGCAGACCGGCCCTTTGCGTGCGCATGAGCTCGAGCCAGCTGCCGGGCCCGCGGCCCGCCCTCTGCCCGCCCTTACTGCTCACCGTGATCCCGGCACATCGCTGTCGTCCTTGTCGTGTGCCGAAGCGCTACCAGCGCCTGCAGCGAGGAGCAGAGGGCAGTTGATGTTCGCGATCCACCCCCCATCCATGGGCCCATGGGCCGTGCAAGCCGGGCAGTTGAAGCACCGTTCGCCTACCTGAGGCCAGCGCGATGAGGCATGCGACCAGAACAAGCACCGTGCGCGCCATTGGGATACAGGCGCACTTTGCTGGGTCGAGGGGGGCGGTCGGAGCTCGCTCGCCGTGAGTGATGTGCGACGCTGGCAACGGGCCCACATACAGGCTTATTAGCGCTAACAAAAGTGCACGTCCTTTCTAGAGCCCCTGGGGCAGTACTGCCAAGCTGCCCGCTTGTCCAAGGAGTTCCAGCTTGATTTTGGGGGCTTGCAGTCTGGTTTCAGCAAGAACAAGCTTGCAGCACAGACTTTGAGGTGCAGAGCAGTGTATGGGGGATGAAGCGGCTGCCGAGCTGGCTGCAGTAGAGCGCAAGGTGCATGGATGCCAGCTGCGGCTTGCCCGGCAGCATGCTGTCTAAGCAGAAGCGGCAGCTACGTTTGGCAGGATGCAGGGCGAGCTGCCAGCCAAGCGGCAGCTGCTGCAGAGCTTGGATGTGAAGCTCCTCAAGGACGCAGGCGGCGGCAGCAGCGGTGCACAGGCAGCGCTGAGCAGGGAGCAGCAGCGGCTTGCTGGATCTGCCGCAGCGCTGGGGCAGCGGGCTAAAGCTGCTGCAGCTGCACTGGCAGAGGCGGCTGCCAGGGCTGCCGCTGCCGAGGATGAACTTGCCCTTTGTCAGCATTGGCTGCCGAGCTGGATCATATATGATGCTGCAGGATAGTGCGCTCGTCCGCTCAGCCCGCTCAGCCGTGCCCTCTGCAGTCCGCCACTTGCGTCGCGGCAGTCAGCGGGGACCCCGAGCAGCTGCTTATCCCGCAGAGAGCTACCCAGCTCTGCGACAGGGTCTGGCGCAGCTGGACAAGCTGCTGCATGCGAGCCGCATCAACAAGGCGCGGAAGCAGCTGGAGGTGGTAGCCAGGGACGTGGCGTTGGTGGCGAAGGACTTGACATTGGTGGCGAAGGAATTAATGATCAATGAGCTGGAGATGAAGGCTAGGGTGTCGCTGCGCCGCAGCCCAGGGCAAAGGTGCAGCGCCTCGGGCCTGATAGGGGGGGCGGCCAATGGGGCGTTTTCCTCGCCATCGGCGACATCTGGCATTGACCGCACCTGAACATGACGGCTTCTGACCCGGGCTGGGCTCCTCCACCTCGGGCAGAAACTTCTGCATAGGGGCGAAGAGCTGGAGCACCCTCATGATGGCGATCTGTGACCCCACATCGTGGACCGATGTCGGGTCTCGGGGTTGGGGGGAGTCGAGTGAGTGGCGGGAGAAAGTCGCCAGGTTGGCGACTTTTCCCCGTGTCTTCTCACTGACAGTCGAATTGGTCTTGTTTCAGTAAAGGACGGCCGAGCCTTTTGGACAGGGTGATCACTAGAATTCATATACTACTTCGGTCACCTTCCGTGCGCACTGGAGCGCACACTGAATCAACAGGCTACTTGGGGGCTGCTGCTGTGTCCAGGGGTGGCAGCAATGAGTGCGAAGACAGATGGGGACAGCAGCAGCAAGGTGGCTGCACACGCACAGCCTGTTGGCTTTGATGTCAAACCGACGTCAAATTGCACTGCTGGCGCGACGGGCAGTGTCATCGCCACACAAGCCGAGAATGCAGGATGATGCAGGTGGGTAATGGGCGGGGATGTTGTCTGAACCTGATGATCACATGTGCATAAAGGAACAATGAATATGTCAACAATGTAGCGTGCAGCATGCAAAAGGAATTATTGCCAAGTTCCTCTGGAGGTCATGAAATCAAGCCAGCACAATGTCAAACGCCGGCATCTAGCAGCTGGAGCGCCTTGGCCACCGCCTCCTCGATGCCGCTCGTCAAGAAGGAGCGCGTGTGCTCGGGTCGGCACAACGGCTGCGGGTCCAGATGCGTGGCACGGTACGACGACAGCTTGCGATTGTTGTTGTCAAACCCCACAAAGGGCCTGCCCATGAGCAAGGCCAAAATCATGGCGTGCATGCGGTCGGACACCACCACGCGCCCGCGGCACAGTATGCGGTTGGCGACGTGCAGCTTCAGCGAGGCGAGCGCCTGGTCGAGCGTCTCGTGGGTCACGTGGGCGTACTGCTGCCAGCCAAGCCAGTCGTCGACAGTGTAAGTCACGTTGCGCGCCTGCAGCGACTGAAGCACCGCGTCGGTTTTGTTGTGCTCCTCCATCCGCCGCTCGATGTCGGAGCGCAGCAAGAAGGCAATGTCGACCGTGGGCTCGCAGTCGGGCAGCACTGGGCCCAGCATGAAGGCGGCGTCGGGGGAGAGGGCCCGCGGCGTGGCATTGAAGTGCGTGCCCAGCTTCTCCAGCGACTCGGCCGTCCGTGCCAGCAGGGTGAGCGAGCGGTGGGAGGCAAACACGGCGGCGTCTGCCGCCGCCAGGCGCTCATCCCTGTACACCACGCTCTGCGGCATCAGCACGATGGTGTTGTTGGGGAAGCGCCGCACGATGGTGCTGCGCAGCTGGTTGTGGGCAGGGTAGAGGTCGCCAAAGTTGCCGCCGCCGTGGAGCAGGATGGTGCCGCTGCCCACCGCCGCGCCCAACAAATCCAGGTTGCAAGAGTTAATCGTACAGACGGGCGTGGCTGGCGGCTGCTGCAGGCCCAGCGCGCCCATCATGTTGAGCTCGCCCAACCAGAGGAAGCTGTCGCCTAGATTCCAATGCTGCGGCAAGTCAACCAAGACAACGCGCTCGCTGTTGTTCAGGAGCGGCGCACAATGGAAAGGAAGCATGCACGCTGTCCCTCCAGGCAGGAAAACCAGCCGGCCCGCCAGTCTGCGCGGATTGAGACGGGGGCAATGGCGGAGGGGGTGGTGGCACGGAGGCGCAGCAGCGCCGCATCTATGGGCCCAGTCGCCAGCCACAGCAGCGCCAGAACCGCGGCGCAGGCGCAGGCCCACCAAACGTCCGACCATCGGCTGTGGCTGCAGCAATGGGCGCTTCAGGAGAGAGGGTGGCGCTGCACGTGTATTGCCGCAGGCAGCTTGCCTGCGCCCTCGCAACCTGCAACGCACCTCGGCGGTGGGTGGGTAGCCAACGCTGCCGCCGGTGGCTCTGAAGATTGCGTTGGCATTGAGACTGACGTCTACGTGGTCCTCTTCCACCATATATCAGTGCTCAATACGAAAAAGCAGCAGTCATTACTCGGCCGAACATGGGATGGCCCTCTGCAGTGAGCCGGGATGTCAGCGCCGTCCTCTAGCGTACATAAGTAATCGAAATCATTATTAAGAGCTCCACCGGTGGGCGAATAGGCTGTGCAGGCAGGCAGGAGTGCGGCCACTCGACCTCCGAGCGTAGGTATGTCTCCCAGATGCGTCGATGATAATTATAAATAATAGAGAGCGGGACAGAAGCCTTTGCCAGCTGTACTTGCAGGTTCTGCAGTACCTCCGCCTCTACGGTAGCTCCTCTCATCTTCCTCTCCGCCTGCAGCGGTCTTCCGGCAGTCGGGAGAGTGTTTGCAGCAGTTTTGAGCAGGTCGTCGGCAGTCTGGAAATTGTTGAAGCTGTGACGGAGAACATATTCCTCAAATCTCTTACTCTTTGGCGTAAATGCGTATGCGACCGCAGGACGCGTATCTAGCCACGTGGGTAAACCTTGCAAGGCAGGACCACACCGCTGCCGGTGCTCAATGGCTTAGCGGTTTGTGTTGTTGCAGGTGTGCACCCCGGTCACTGGCCTACCCGCCAATACTTTTCCTCGGCGGTACGCCTGTCTATGCAGCACTCCAGGATATCAGCAAATGTTCTCGTTATTGGCGTATTTGCGACACTATGCATTCTCATTTTCATGACCTTCGGGTGAGACCGGTGACTGATGCATAATGTTGGTGTGGTGGCATACTCCAACCAATCATGCCGACCAAAAAATACCAACAAACACTTACAAATACTTGGTTCTGCACCATATCCATCCATGTATTTCCAAATGCACAGGATGGCGCGGATTCCATCTATTATTCGGATTCTAGAACATCCAAAGAATGCGTCATGTGTATCAGAGGAAGACAATTTCCGTCGGTCTTTATCGGCTAAGCTGCAACGTGCCTTAGAACCCCATCCCCTCATCACACGAAACGAAACGTTGGCCACAGCCGCCTATCTTGCCCCTTGGTCACTGACATTACAAGTCACTTCTGATAAAACTATCTGGGTGGCTCCGCCGCCTTTTGGCAACCCAAATCTCTCGTCTGGAGCTGAAGGTTCCATGAAAGCCTACGTAGCGGGCACCCTGGCTGCCCTAACCATCATGCTCAACCATTCCGCTCACGTTCCAAATGCTACAATTGTATTCCAACATGGGGATAATTGCTTGTACGTTCTGAACGCATGCCCCATGCGTTTTGATCCATGTGCATCATGCTGTATGCATGGTGTCATCTCTCTCTGCGCAGGTTTTCATATACAGAGTCTTGGATCTTAACGCGGAAATACCCACAAGTCCATAATACAACTTGGGGGCATTGGGCAGAGGGAAGCATCGCCCACAACGACTCATCGCAGGAGGCACGTCATGGGCCAGGAGCAGGGTTTGCCCCAGCATTCAGCTATCAAGATAGTCAATACAGTGGAACAAGCCTGACATGTCTCTCGATTGCATTTCCTTCATATGACTGGGTTTGGTTGGGCCAGGTGAGAAGGGAAAGGTGTGCTATGGTGTTCTCACTCACTTTACACCAACAATGCGAACTGTTCGGTTCAAGAGGCTAAGTTCACATTGTTGTTGTTCAACCGAGTTGTAGGATTTCACCGAGAGCAGCAAGAATCGCCGAGATGGTCTCGCTGCTGTGGCCTGGAAGGATCGCCAGGCAAAGCTTGTATTTCGGGGTACTGGATGGGGTGCGGATTCTATTCCCTACAAAGAGTACACAACAAAAGCATTGCGAGAGCGCGCAGCCCGTGTGAGCAAAGGCCATCCCGGTCTCATGGACATAAAATTGACTTTCTGTGTTCACAAGTCGTGTGAGCCGGAGATCACTGGAACGTAAGCAGAGTTCGGTTGCAAATTTGTGTACGAGTACCTGCCATGCGTCATCCAATGCGCTACAAAAACTATTCCAACTTCATACAGAGCATTATCTTGGGAGGAGCAGCTTCAATACAAGTACATCCTGGATGCAGATGGACTCGGAAGCGTCTTTCGCTCTAAGCACCTTCTCATCAGTGGATCCCTTGTTTTCAAGATTGACACGCCCATTGCTCAGTTCTGGGCCACCGAAATCAGGCCATGGGTGAGTGCAGTGTAAGCTCATGCCAGAGTACTAATTGGGCTGCAAGTCACGATTCAACTAGTGCTGTTGTGCAGATTCATTTTGTGCCTGTGTCTTGGCATGACCTTGAGGATGATCTCCCCCGTAAAGTGAAATGGGCAATGGAACACGATGCAGAAGCGCAGCGCATCATGCTCAATGGTCATCGCTGGGTGATGACACATTTGACTGATGCCAATGTGGCCTGGTTTCAGGAGCAGGTGTGTTTCGTGTTTCAACCTTCAGTTCCTCTTTCTGTGTCCTTGGGGAGTCCTTGGGGGATACAACTGTCCCGTGAAGGACCATGAACATTTTTGTATGCAGGCTCTGAATGCTATTGCGCAGCGCCAGGCGGAGGAGTTCCCTCCCATCCCCGGAGCCGCCAAGTTTTGCTGCAATCATTTGGAAGGCGCAGATCCTCATTATCGCAGCAAATGTATTGAATATGCTCCACAACATATGCTGACCTGCGACACACAACCCAATGCTTTCAAAATCGCTTGCACTGGAACTTCATGAAAATGCTGGTTTGATATGGGCCCTAATCGTGCATCTATTGATAATCAAAGAATGTCTGACGGTATGCATGCTGTAAACACAAAAAAATCTTTAAGTCGGCAGGTTGAAGGGGGGCATGCCTCTTGCCAAGAAAACCCTGGGATCTGTGCTTGAATGGCACAAGCACAGACTGCAGCTTGAGCGGCTCTTTGCATTTTATCCAGCTGCAATACTTGAGCAGCCGACACTCTACCCGGCCCGAACCAAGGAACGGACAAGTGTTCGGGCAGCGCCTGGCGCATGAACGTGTAATTGCTTGCCAAACATATGTAATTTGTGTATGTTTGTTGGTCCAACGCACTTCATGCATGCAAATAAAACCCTGCCGAAAGACAGCTGCTCCAGTTGGCGGCCCTCACAAGCTGGCCGTTCCATGTCTCCTTCGTCTGCACACAAAAGAACGTGTTTATGCTGGATTTTGGTGTTAGCAGGAGGCTTTCCGCTATGGATGACGAAAGTGAGTTTTGAAAGTTTGGAAGGCCCGGCTTCCAGCGCTCCTAGAAGTGAGCCCTCAGGGTTTGATCCAGAATGTTTCATGATATTGTAGCTGTCACCGAAGATTGTGTCCTCCACCTGGAAACTTGATACGCCGCTACATTGTGGGGTGTTCAACCTTGTATGTTGAGTAGTAACGGTGTGGTGCTTACCAATCTATTCCATACCCATCGCCTGCCTGCTGTTTGGCAGACAACCGTATGTGTTTAATGTCGTTGCAGGTTCCATGCAGATGTTGCCGCTGGATTTGTCTGGGCCTTTCAGGTATACCGTCGTGAGCAATGCGCCCCCTCCTGTAAATGCTTAATGCTAAACCCTTGCTGTAACCGGCCTGCATTGCAGCAAGCGGGATGTAACGTGACCACCTATATCGACGATGCTTTAGGAATCAAGGCAAGCATGCCACTGCCACATCACTCTTGCCCATCCTCAAGCTCGTAAAGCTCCCCAGTCAATTTGCTATTGCGCAGGATGTCATGAATGACTGGTACATTGGTAGCTATGGTGCAGTCTCAGCAGCGGAGTCTGACCTCCATGAGGTGAGACAATAGCTTTCACAGCCGCCCAATTCTATTGCAGCAAGCTTGAGCAACACATGTGTGACATCTGTTGCAGTTCGATGTGGTCATCATTGTTACAGATTGGACAGAGTACACTGAATTTATTCGTCGATCGATCAAATCGTGGCTTGTTACGCGACATCAGCGGTTTCTGTTTGTAGTGCATGAACCTGACAAGGAGATTGTGCATGGAGCATGGGCCAAAGAGTTTCGGTCCATCATTTTCGAGCATGCCATGGTTGGAGAGCAGCCATCGCGGTTGCAACTAATGACGATTGCCCCAGGCGTGTCATCATACATTAAATCGCTTATAGAAACATGGTCTTCAGGATTAGGCAGGAACAGACAGGCTGATGTGCCCTTTATTGCCCCACTATTCCCCTTGCCTTCCTCTCCCAACAGAATCGACATGGCAAACATATGCATACAGGTTGGTTGAATGGAGGCTAGCCTGGACTCATTTGCTTTGCACATGTATCGCCCTCCTCTGCCGCACTGCCGCGGAATTCTACAAGGAACTAACATTCCTAGTGCTTTGTTATGCAGGGTTCGATCGACTTTGCAAGACGTAACTACACCGAGGCATTTGAAGTGCTGAGCAACGACCTGATCTTGTCCCAGCTGCATGTACGCAACGAATCAGTGCTTTTGCTGGGTGGTGGAGCAGATGCTGGAAAGCTGGAGCAGATGCGCCCAGCTAAGCTTCAGGGTCACCTGCAGCTTTTGTCGATCACGATGCCTTACAAGGTATTGTCCTTTGTGTTTTTTTTGCTTTTTGATAGCGCATACATGTAACTCTTTGGCATCGCCGTTGCCCATGTTCACAGGAGTTTTATGACGTCTTGACACGCTGCCGTGCCCTTCTCACAGCTTTTGCAACAGGTGAGAAAGGGACTGAAGCTCATAGTGCTCTTCTATCAAATTGATTGTGCCAATCACGCCTCTCCACTTTTTTTTTGCAGATGAGTATATCATCAGCAAAGCAAGCAGCACCATTGCTGCTGCACTTCAAGTCGAATGTCCAATACTTGGCGACGCCCGGTGTGTGTTGATTGCTCAAATACCAATCATCGCCCTGCCCAAGAACTGTGATATATTGTGGCACTGTGCGGGATGAGTGAATTGCAGGTTCCTGAAAGCTTACAGCTTCCTCAACGGCAAAGCCACGATCGTTTTTGACCCTCCAGCAAACGCAACCTGGCCAGATAACGCTGAAGAGGGAGCCAAAGCGGCCATCGGCCAGTTAGCACAATACAATATGTCGTTCAACTCCACCTTGATAGCAACTTCTCGCCGTACGTCAGCAGAGGTGGTTTACAAGCCCCAGAACAAGACTTATGTGGATGCATTGTTGCGGGCCTTCAATGCAAAGCACGTCGTTGCTGCCCATGATGCTGCCCAAGGGCTGAAGCGCAGTCTCATGCAACACAATTTGGAGGTTGCAAGGCGTTTTCTGCATGACACTGCACGCCTGAGGAACATGAACTGCACGTCTGAGGAACATAAACAGCAATCAAAATGCTGATAGCCTTTGACCGGATAGTTTACAGCATGTAATGCTGGAGGGGGAAGTGTGCAAGTTATGATAATGTGGAGTCTAATCCAACATCGCCAGCTCACTTGTAGTTGACCCAGGTTGTGCATGGCTCCTGTACATGGGTTAATGGTACTCGTAGGAAGGTGCGAAATACATGTGTACTTTGCTAGTTGCAGTGGTTGGGCACATAATAGATCTATTAGCCAAAGCTTATTCTTGATTGCTCGTAGGCAGTGAGCACGGGAGTGGCAAGGGTTGAATGTACGTGGCATATGTATGGAACTGTTCCGAATCATTCAAGGATGGTATAATCTGGTTGGCAATGAGTGTCCATCGCTCGAATGTGTCCTTGTTTCCTTTTCCTTCGGTTGAGGCTGGGGCAGTGGGCTGTTACAGCCCCACACATTCGAAAACAAAAGATGAAAAGGCTGGGCAAGATGTGGCTGACTGGAATATGGCAACAGCTGGGAAGCTGCTGCATCTGTCGATTCTGAAGTCAAGCAAAAATTTAGGAGCGAAGTCTTTGGTGGCAGAACTCAGTATGCTGTCACACAGAGGCGTGGATGAAATTGCAAGACCATCTTTGTGTGACAAAGTTCAGTTCGGCTCTCCCTCCCCTCCTGGATCGGCTCCCCCTGCACTAGTGGATTGGCTCCCCCTGAAACTTGGTGGACTCGACTGGGATCCAGATGCATTCATTTCCTGCGTTCCGTGGGCGTCACGCAAGGCCGCCGGTACCTGCCAGACCACAATAGGGCTGCCCTCCACTGGGGGGGGGGGGGGGGGAGCCAGGGGGTGTGGATCAGGTTTACAATCACTGTCCCGCTCCTGCCATAATTGCTCCGCAGGGCGTCCTTCGGGTCCACATCCGCCGGCATCCAGGGCACCTCAACTCGGATGTGAACCCACTTGAAACCTGGCGAGAAAACATTCATTGACCCCGCGAGACAGCGGCAACAGACACGCACACTGCATCTCATCCTCCCTGATCATCTAAGCCCTGCTGACTGCCTAAGAAAACAGCAAGGTGTGGTGCATTACACATGTCCAGCACATTTTCGGCATGCTGACGCCGCAGCGCCAGCTTCACTCTGCTGCGGGGGCCGCGACCGGCATTTCAGCCTACTTGGCCCTCTGCCTCCGCCGCTTCCGCTTCAGACGGCGCATGCGCTTCTTCCTCCACTGCAGAAGAGGATCGGGAGGTCACCCAAGGAGGCAGAAACACCGGTCAGCGTCGCTGTTGGCGGCGTCTCATCATTGAGCTCTAGCAGGCGCTAGGAGCTCACAGCACCACCTGCCCGCCCCGCACACCCTGCCTACTCCCATTTGAACCTCTGATTGCCAAGCTTCAGGTGCATCACATCCCATCAGCATGGGGGAGGGGAGCTCCCCGCAGCCTCCCCTGCCAACTACACGGCAAGCGGGTGCTGTCCCCAGCAACCGCTCTATCGTGCAGCCCACCGTCGTCACGGCGCATGGTGCGCACCACGCCTCTCTCCCCGCCCCCAACCCAGCAAACACGCACCTTGGCACGCATCTTCGCTTCTGCTGTGGAGACAGGAACGAAAGAGGCTGCCACGGGCGCAGGGGGCACTCATTAAGGCGTCGCCAGGGTCGGAACCTTGAGTTCCGGCTGAGCGCATTGGTTTCGCGCTTTCGCGAGCGTGCATTCATTTTGATTGAGGAGGCTCCTCGGCTGCTGCAGGCCGCCGAGTGCTCGAACGTGCTGCACCCTTCATCACTGCAGGCACCCCCTTCCTGGCTTTTGCACGCACGAGCACAGCCACCTGGAGGCTGCTACCGTGTCGTGCTTGCCTCGCACTCGGCCTGCTGGGAGCACCCTCGGCGGCGGTGCGCCGGCGGCGCTAGCGTGGCGCTGCCAGCTCGCGCTGCTGCACCGCCAAGATGAGCAGCAACCCCGCCTCCGATGAGCAGTATGAGAAGGTGAGCCTGACACGAGTGCCTGGCTTTCATGTGTGCCTTGCCGGTGCTGCAATTCGTGCACGTCAGCAATTGTGCCCACGGCGGCGTCGCTGCAGGTATGGGAGCAGGTGGAGGCGATGCCGCCGGAGCAGCAGAAGCAGCTGCGGGCGCAGGCCCTGGACCAGCTGCTGCGTCGTCGCCGGGTCATGGTGGACGGCAAGGTGGGTGCTAGCACAGAGAGTAGAACTGCACTGTTGTGTTGATCTTGGGGGAAATGCCTTCCGTTGCCCCCCCCCCCCAGAGCGCCCGGCGCCTTTGATGCCCCCGCCCGAACTTGCCTGCCTCGCCCATTGCCCATTGCACCACACTTTGCAGGTCACCTCGCTGCGCCGGCTGCAGCGGCGCGTGGAGGAGCAGCGGCGGCTGTACGAGAGCGGCGCGTTTGACGAGACAGTGAGGTGCGGGCCGGCGGGCTTGCAGGCTGTTGCTTTGCCATGATGCAGGTGCGGCGGGCCCAGTCTGCTGATTGCGCATCTCGCCTGCCTGGCCGCTGGACGCCATGCTGCCACACTAGATCTGGAGCTGCGTCTGCACCTTTCCTGATTGCTTGCACTTGGTTATGCCCCGAGGCCACTGCAGGACTCTGCCGCGGTGGCAGCTGCAGGACATGGTGCCCAGCGAGCAGCTGCGGCAGGGCGCATACAAGATGCAGCTGAGGCAGAGGGAGGAAGCGGAGCTGGAGTTGGTGCGTTGCTGGCCCACTGCCGCCGCCGCCTCCGCCGCCTTGTTGGCGTGCGCTGTCTCTGGCTACGCAGCATGCACCACTTCAGTTGCGGCCTGCCCGGCTGCGTTGATGCTGGCGTGGGAGGCAGTTGCCACTGTCTGACCTCCATGCCTTGTCCCACCAACGGCATCTGGTGAATGGGTCGAGTGGCCCATGGCATCAATGTTTTCCGGGAACATCTGGGTTGGTCTCACCTCCCTTTCCTCCCTCTGTTGACCCCCTGCTTCGCTGCAGGACCGCATTGGCCATGGCAACGTGTTCAGCCCGCGCCCCGTGCTCAGCAAGCTGCTGGGCGGGCGGCGAGACTTTGGCTGGGGCATCTGTGAGTGCCTGGGACCGCCGCCGGCGCAGAGATGGAACTGGATCACGGCCATGTCGGCGCTGTGTTTTTGGAAGTGCGACAGCAACTTCCAGCCCAGCCCCAAGGGTCTCTTCGCTGCGGCAGATTGCATTTACAAGGCCTGTGCGCATTTACAAGGCCTGCGCCGGCTGGAGGCAACCATCGCTGCCGGCGGCTCCCCCTCACCCCCCTTGCAGATGCACGGACGGCAAACGCAGAGCAACTGCTGGCTGGCGATTGGGCGGGACGCGACCCGCAAGAAGCAGCCTCTGACGGCCGCCTCTACCTGGACGTCGTGCGCAATTGCCATAACGTGCGGTCGTCTGCCGCTGCGATTCACCAGGCTCACGTGTTGAGCAAACCGCCTCTGTGCCAAGCGCCGCAGGCTTAGGCCCTATGCACCAAAGTCACGTCAGATGAGCGCTGCCTCTACCCTTGCCGCCTGCCTTGTTGCAGCTGGAGCTGACACTCGTGGCGCTCACCAGTCGCCCGCTGCCGCTGGCGCCCATGCGGCAGCAGCTGGCAGGTAGATCCCACCCGCACGGTGCCTGCACAGCCATGCTGCACCAGCTGAAGCAGGGGACTTGTTTCCGTTGCTCTTGCTTCTGTGCTGGCCTGCCGTGCCTGCTGGCACCATGGTATGCCCCATGCACACTGGCTGAACTACAGTGCTGCCGCTTGCGCCTGGGCACCTGTGTGCAGCCAAGCTGAAGCGCAGCATGCAGTCGCTGGCGGGCAGCCAAGAATTGCAGCCGCAGCACAAGGCGGATCTTCACGATTTCATCAGCATGTTTGATGGTGAGGCCTCTTGACGGGCCAGCTCAGCAACCATGCCCTATTCTTCTGTTGCTGTGTAGGTGCGCCGCACCCTTGCCACACGCCCATCAATGCCCTTTTGCGCTAAGCTGCCTACCCTGCTGCAGACACGCGCGTGGCGCCAGCTGGGTGGATGGACAAGAGCGGGTGCGTGAAGGAGGGGACCCATTTCATGTTTAGCACTACCCCAGAGGCTCACCTGCTGGTGGAAGGTGAGGGCCGTGGGGTCATTCGCCCTGGCAGTGCGGTGGTCGCAGCAGCTCAGGATGCTGTGACTGCCATCGGCATCTGACATGGGGGGCAGCGCTGTCGGCGACGGTAGGACGTAGCTGGCCTTGCCCTGCTGCCAACTGCCTTCTGGGGTTGTACCGCCGCACGCTGTTGTGCAGCCATTACGCCGGGCCGTTTACGAGACCGCCGAACAAGCCGCATCGGCGTCAACCGGAGCCCGCTGGTGACAGGTGCTCGCCTGCCAGTTCCCTTGTGTCAGCCCCTGCCCAAGCATCATGCCACGTGCTCGCGCCATAGGGGCACTAGCACGGCACGCCAACGCTCCATTTGAATCGGCCCTGCCTTTTGCCATCTGCGCAGGCGCAATCTTTGACATGTTCCTGGGCGAAGAGCCGCTGGATGACTATGGCAAGAAGGATGTGGGACACGGCATGCTGTGGGCGGCCAACGGCTTCAGGTGCATGCAAGACCCGTGGCGCCGATGGGCACCAGCGTGTCTTCTTCCCTGGTGTTTAACACAAGCAGCATGAGAGCATGCACCTCGAAAATGTGCAGGTTCCGGCCGTGGGAGATGCGCCCTGGGCAGTACATTGCAGAGGAGGGCCCCGACGGCCAGATCACCTTTCCGCAGCCCGAGGCCATGGAATCGGTCGGCCTGCCCCTCAGGTGTACATGGTGTGGATGCCTGCGCCATGTGGTGTTGCTGATGCTGATGTTTGTCCACGTAAGGCTGCCTGCGCCTATCTGACCAATGACTGCTTGCCAGTGTGTGTGTGTGTGTGTGCGTGTGTCGCAGGCCCAGCGTGTTCCAGATGCTGGATGAGCAGACCAAGCCGCTGCGGCGCATGCTGCTTGGAGGCATCAGGTGCATGCTGGTGGTGCTCCCCTCTGCTGCAACTGCAGCAAAGTTTGCTCAGATGGGATCCAATGCTGGACGTGTGCACTTCCACTTGAGCATCACAGCATGTTGACCCTGCGCCGAATGTGCAGGCGAGCCCGTCGGCAGATGGAGCTGGTGCCAGCAGGGGCGTCTGCATGAGACTTGAATGGTGCATCCTATTGGTCTCTGTAGTGTAACAGTGCAGAAGATTGGTAACAGTGCAGAAGACTGAGGACTGGGCGGCGCCAGCTATGCCAACTATGAGGAATCAGCTCTGGATGTTGTAGTGCAAGGAGATCGCGACCTGGCCGTTTATGCTCGCCAGTAGTTTACTGCTAGCTACCCATCGGTGTCGGCATCTCTCGAAACAGCGCACCATGCTGGCGTCCATCGCTGCCCCCTGCCCTGCCGCCTATCTGCACCCCAAAGGTGAGGCTGCAGCAGAACCAGACGTTTTCAACGAGACGCGCAGAGAAGAGAAGAGATGCGGTTCAAACCCGTTGCTTGCGGGGGAGGCCCTGCTTCTTACCGCGGGCACCATGGGCTGAGATGCTGAGATGAGACGGGCAGTGCTGCGCCAACGTGCAGGGTTCGCCGCCGCTCCCGCCCGCCGGCCGCCTGCGGCCCGCAGCACCTGCACCAGGCGGCGGTGCCTCGGCGTGTGTGCAGCTCTCCAGCTCACTCCCACTGGTGATGGCACCCAGCAGCATCTTGACGCGGAGGTGGCGATCCCAGGCGCCATCAAGCTGCAGGAGGGGCTGTTTGAGGTGCGGCACTGCCGCCTGTGGACGTCTGTTGTTTGTTGCAACCAATGATGTGCCCCGGCAACACATCCATGCAGTTGGGCCGCGCCCCGCCTGCCGACATCCTCATCGAGATCCCCACGGTGAGCACCCGGCACGCCACGCTGCGTGTCGGCGAGGCGTCCGTCATTGTCACTGACCTGGGCTCCACCAACGGCACCACAATTGATGGCGAGGAACTGGAGGCAACCCAAGCGGTGCGGTGCAATCAATGGGGGCATGCCCAGAATTTATGTCTTTCCTGAGCTGCTCTCTCGTGCATGTTTTCGAACCAAACGCTGCCACCATGACCTCTCTGCAGGCCGAGCTGAAGCCAGGCAGCGAAATCGGTGAGTGCCAGCTGCTGTTGTTGTGCTACAGCGGCTGCAGTGCTTTTAGGAGCAGCTTCATTGCGAGGGCACTCATGATGCATTACGTTTGCGTGTCCCCATTGCATGTGATGTGCTGTACCATCGTGGGGCCCACAGTGTTTGGCGACAAGTACATTGCAAAGGTATTTGTGAACCAATGTGATCTGTTCTTAATGATTCTGGTCGTGCACCTTGATGTGACCACGCCATACGCTATAAGCGCTCAATTGGTGTCTGTGCATGCAGTTCCGCCTGGACGTCGTCGAAGATGCGCCGCCCCCAGCAGAGGCCCCCGCCGCCAAGGAAGCTGTCCCCGCTGCCGCCGAAGAGAAGGCAGAGTGAGCTGGCCATGTGATGCCGGCTGCTCACAGCCATCGTGCCCATCGTCCGGATAGGCTGTGCACTTGAACTGCCCACTTTTGATTATGCTAGCCTGTTCTTGCTTGAGCCACATGAGCCATGTGATGTTCGTTGTTGTTTTTTACTTCGCTGCACATTGAACTGCTTTACACGTGTCCATCAAGTTTACGTTGTGAGTTGATGCACTTTGCCTGGTCAAGGGAACTCTGCTTTGTGGGAAACCATCTTTACCTCTTCAGCCGATTCACGTCACGGCCTGCCGTAGCGTCACTTCAACGATGCCACCCTGTTGCTCGTGAGGGACCCCCCGCTCTGCCAGCAAACGCAACACCTGGGGCAGGGGCAGCATCATGCATGCATCAGTCTGCCGTGGTTTAAATGGGCAACACAAAGCAAGCAGCCATGTAGCAGCCGCCCATTCCAGGCCAGCTAGCTCGTGTCCAATGCCAGCAGCAGCACATGCCTCTGGCTTGATGCGGGGAGCGCCTCCGGCGCTGTGCAAACCCTTGCCGGTAATGTAGCGCACAGTCACGCCACCAGGGATGGACTGCAGGCAGGAGCAGGCGGAAGGAGGAAGTGGGAGGCTTGGGAGCAGGCGGAATGAGGGGCCGTCCTGTCCCCATGCAACATGGACATGGACAAAGCACAAAGTTCAGGCAGGCCATGCAAAGCCCCAGTATAACTACAGTGCCTGCAGCCGAGTCAGATGCAAAGCCTTTCCACCAAGAACAGGTCCAGCTCAGCCCGGCCCAAATCGTCGGCTGGCCCCACCTCGGGCAGGCTGCGGAGGCCGCTCTCCACCAAACGGAGCGCCTCATCGACGTGCAATCCATGCAGATCGACGGTGATGATGGGCAAGGTGCCCGCGTTGCTGTGGGGAGACAGAACCGGGGGGTAGGGACATGGCCAGGGTTGGAGGGAAAGGATATGCGCGGATGGAGGGCCAGAGCAACGGCCTGGCCCCTTGTCACCTAGCTAGCTTAAAGGACACCCCCACATCACTCCCACCACATTGCGGGCCGCCATGCCCGGGCCCTCCAGCCGCCCCTGCTAACTCACACTCGCTTGCTGATGCGCCTGGACGCCCTGCGCTTTTCCTGGTCGTACTGCTCGCGGTACTGATGGCCCTGCAGGCAGAAGGGATGCACAACGGTGTGCACTCAGATGGCTGTAACACAGATGAATGTATGCGAAAAACAAGGTGAAAAACTGCCCAGCTTCTGTTCGAGAGCCACCCCACGCCTGCCCCTGCGCCAGGACAAGCCCAACTACCCCTAGTAGTTGATTGATTAAGTGTTTTACAAACACTTAATCCAGCACCCACCCACTCACCCGCAAACGCAGCTCGTTGGCTGTGTCATGGTCGCCACGCGTGTACGCCGCCGCTGCCAGCTCAAAGCAGCGCCGGTAGCACATTTGCAGCCGCTGCGCCTGTGCTCGCTCTTGCTGCAGGACGTGTAGGAGGCCAGCACAACGGAGCATTCAATGGGCCAGACAGTTTCTTTGTGCCATGAGGCATATGCTGAGGCATGCAGAAACCGCTACCCAATCAGCGGCCTAGTGAGCTTCTGAGTGGCAGCAAGCAGTGACTGGTTCCACAGATGCAAACTGGGGTCTCGATCCCCACCTCGAAGATGGCCTGGTTGCGCTGGTAAGTGGCCTCTGACAGCGACAGGCTGGCTGGGGCACCATGCACTGATGGCATGCTGGGTCCTGCCACTGTCCCTGGTGCGGGCGGCAGCGGCTGTAGCAATTCCTGAGGATGCGGTTGGGGCGAAGGCGGCGGCGGCGCAGGCGGCACCGCGGTGCTCGCTGCTGTTGAAAAAGCTGCGTACAGCTGAGGCTGAAGCCGCGGGGTGGGCTCCAGGTCGACCTCGGTGTACCCTGCCTCGCGCAGAGTGCGCCGAGCGTTCGCCAGGCTGTAACTGGAAGACACCAGTGCCACCTGCTCGTGAAGGGATGGAGGCGGGAGGTAATCTTAGCTGCAGCGGCAGCACGCCCAGCAGGAGCAGACGGAGAGGCACCCACCTCCAGCGCCTCGATGGGCACCTCTGGGAAGCGCTGGGACAAGTGCTGCACCTTGGGCCAGGCATGGTGCGGCAGCGCTGCCGAGGCGCTGGCAGCAGCGGGGACACTTGCAGCCGCCGCTGCCGACCTAGGGGCATCGCCAATCATGTTGCCTCTACCATCGCTGTCGCTGCTCTTGGCCGCATCATCCTCTGCCAAAAAGGCGCGCAGTAGCTTTGCTGCGGCGAAAAGGCTGCCATCGCAGGCTGCCAGCGAGGCAGACACCTCATCCACAGAGATGGACGCAAACTCCAGCTGAAGCAGCTCCAGCTTTTCCTCGGCTGGCATGGCATCCTCACCCTCAGGAGACAGCGGACGGTGCTGCTGTTGGTGAGGCACCTGCTGCTGCTGCCGCTGAGGAGGATCCCGCTGCCGCGGCGCTGCAAGCAGCAACTCCAGAGGCACACCCGCCTCTATCGCCTCCAGTTCAGCAGGCGTCAGCTCTTGCTCCCAGCTGCTGCCGGCAGCAAACTCATCATCGCTGCCGCCACAGAAGCCGTCCCCGCTGTCTGCCTCCCAGGCCTGCTGGTCCGGCAGTGAGCCAACAGCGCTGGTAGCGGTGGTAGCAGCACAGGTGTGGGTTGCTGCATCGTTTACGCAGGAAGAAAGCATGATCAGCTGGTCCAGCGCCGTCTGTGGCGTATCGCTGTACCGCTGCAGCACGTCGCCCACCACCTGCGAATCAGGCAAGCCAGACACACGATGAATGACGGTGAAATGAATGAATGAGGGACATGAATGAATGAGGGCCGAACAAACAATAACTGATTGGGTGGAATGCCGCAGTGCTGAACCACTGAGACAATGCTCGTCGCATAAAGTAGCAAAGTGCTTTGTGGCAAGTCCAGTCACATCAGCACAGAGCACTCACGTCAGGCTTGAGGTTTGGAAACATGGAACTGTGGAACTCAACCGCCAGCACAAGGTCGGTTGGGCCATAGCCGCCATGTTGCTGCTGCTGCTGGTCGGAATGGCTGTGCTGCTGCACCTGCTGGTTCGCCCACACCTCCTCATGCTGCGCTTCCGCCAGCAACTGCAATGCGGGAGGCAGTGGGTCGGCTGCCAACACGAGGAGAGGGTCCCGGCCAGCTTCAGGAGTGGCTCTCGAGTCCGCAGTTGGCTCAGATGTGGCTGCTGCACACAGTGACGATGTACCAATTGTACCTCCACACTCTGTGGGTGCGGTGCACACCGCCAAACTGGCGGGTGGCAGTGCGGTGGCTGGCGCTGGTTCTCCAGAGGCACGGTGGCTGTCAGCAGCAGCGATGCTGGTGTTACTGGGGGCCATGCCTTGCTCAGCGCCTGGTGTCGCTGGCAGCAAAAAACAGCTCTGTTGGCTGGCACCGGGTGGCTCAACTACGTCGCTCCAAGCCAGCTCCAAACGATGCTCGCAGTAGTGCATTTGGGTGGCACCAGCGGTTGGGGGTGGCAGTCCAGCTGATGATACAGGGGGCCTGAAACTTCCCGTACTCGTGCATGCGCCACCCTGTCGGTGGCTCCTAAAACCATCCGAAGCAGGAGACCAGCAGGGCCACCACCCCCGGCTGGAACGGCTGGCAGCTTTGCGACTGGGCCGTGAAAGCGGTGCCCCTAGCCCAGCCTTCAGGACTGGGGAAGGATGCTGGTGCCCACCATCCAATGAGACAAGCCAGGGACAGATTTCTTCCAGAGCCATTGAGCCCTGCATTGGGGAGGAAAGGCGAGCAGCATAGGGGAAGCGACCAGATGGGGCATACGCTGGTGCACGCTCAAAAGAGGCAGGTATACACCATACAGTGGGATGGACGCCTTCAGCACTGCCACACCTCCTGCTCGTTTTGCAGGGTGCTAGACATTGGTGGCAATGATGCAGCAGTAGCAGCGGTGGTTTGGGCAGGGAGGCTGTCCCCAGTGGGGTGGTTGTCGACAGATGAAGGATTCTGGGACGTGCTGGGTGTTTGGGTTGGCCGCTTTTTTTCAGCCGGAAACAACACCGCATACTGGTCCTGCACGCAAGGGGATGGAGATGGGGGCCGTATGGAACCTTGGGACAAGGGCCCTGAGGTCAGACAGGGCACAGGCTTACCTGCCGCGTCTGCGGCACCAAAGGGGGTGGTGCCAACGGGCCCCTCGGCGACTGGGCCTCCGCCATGGCAAGCAGGCCGTCTAGCGCCAGCTCAACGTTGTTACCGCACTTCAACAGGCAGCAGGGGACAACAGGACGAGGTTAGAGTCCGAGCCGCCCAACTGCGCGGGCGGGCGGAGCGCGCGGTGGCGTGGCAACCAGGCAACCACTCTGGGCCTTGGAAAACGGCAGAGGGACTGCTGGTGACAAGGATTACCTGCTCGACGACGTCTAGAATAGCGGCTCTGCTGAGGCCAGGAACCAACTCTGCCAGCGCCTCCACGGTGAGGTCGTGGCCTCCCACGAGAGGCCCAGCACCGGCCTCCATACTGGCGGGAGAAGCCTCAGCACTCTAACGCCACATCCCCCGCGAGCACAAAAGCAAGACGACTTGTCTGAACGCTTCCAACGACGTGACGGGACGCCTTAGATAGCAACGGCGTGAAGGCGCAAGTTGAAAATGTGGGCGGGCGTACTGCGGGCCGCCTGCGCGCTGCCACGGCATGCCGGTCCATCATCTTGCAGCTGCATCCAGCGCGCCGCTTCTTACATTGTGAACTCAAGCTCACCGCGAGTTCACCATCCTGGCATCCTAGATGTGCTCCTGCACCACATCCTCCTGCCCCACGCCTGCCGGCGGCGCCCCCACAGGCGCACTCGCAGCCAGGATGCCCTCAACCCGAGCCCTCGTTGGGTCGTTGGCTGCGGTGGCGGCCGCCGCGGCTGCCGACGCTGCGGTCCCACGCTTTTGCCGCTTGCCCATGCGCACCGCCGCAACTTCGTCATATGTCTCGCCAAATGCTTCGGGCACCGTCCTGCGGTCAAGCCGGGTGCCCATGCCCTCGTGTGAAAATTGCAGAACCACCGGCACATTGTCCGGATGCCTTGCTCCCCAACCAAGCCACTGGCCGGTGGGCCTTCGACAACACCCACCTGCCGCTGGTGGCAATGCGTGCCTTGCGCTGCTGCTGTGCCTTCCAGTCCCGCGAAGCAAACAGCTGCTGCGCCACAAAGCCGGCGCTGGCGCCCCCGCTGCCGCTGCCCAGCTCGCTTGCGGCTGGCTCCCAGTCCGCTGCATCGGAGCAGCAGGGGCCGGACAGACCGTGTGCAGATGCGGTACTCAGGGAGCTGACAGCTAGACAGCTTGGCACAGCAACACTTGGGGCTGGGCACCTCGACGCAACCGCTGGTCAAACAAACAGCAAGCTGACGGCTCACCCTCAGGGCCCTGCTCCCCACCGCCTGGAACGGCTGGCTGGTCTCCAGTTCCACTGCCCACAGCTGCTCCAGCTTGCGCCCCTGTCGCATCAGGCTGCGGCGGCGGCATAGCGGCGAGGTCGCCCCGCGGCGCAGCGAGAAAAGGGTTGCTGGCGGCTGCGCCGCGCTGGGCCCTACTGGCCTGCCCCGGCCCGACCGCGGCAATGTCTGCTTGCTGCCCTGTCGCCCCTGCCGGCTCCTGGCCTTCCTGCTGCTGCCCAGTCGCCGCTGCAGCCGACGCGTCCTCGCTGCTCTTCAGCTTGGCGGCCAGCAGCTGGTTGCTGTCTGCTGCCAGACGTGCCTGCAGGCGTACCGCCGCCGTCTCCGCCTGCTGCCGCTGCTCCGTCAGAAGCATCTGCCGCTTCTGGGGGTCCTTTTCGTGACCTGCAGCCATGCGGAACGACCACAATGCATTTGGAAAACGCAACACACATGCACAGGAGGCCAGCAACTGCGTACCTGGGTACACGGGGGTGGCCACGTAGGTGTGCCGGTCTGGCAGCGCGGGCAGCCAGGGCGGGATGTGAGGCGGCGGCGCCTCGCCCCGCTCCATGAACGTCGGCGCGGGCCGTGACTGCTTGCGCAGCGGGAAGGCGGAGATGCTCTGCTCAAAGGGCACCTCCTGCAGGGTGGGGTAGGTAGGCGTAACAGGGAGGGACACGTCTGCTGCGGAGCGGGGCATGAAGTTGGTGTGTTCCCAGCGGCAGTCCTCTTGCCTGCGAGTGGCGCACAAAGTCGCGCAGCTGGGCCACACCGGTGCTCATGTCGTTCAGTGCCAGCGCCTGGAACAGCAGGGGGGCCGCGGCGGTGGGCAGGGCGGGGGCGGCAGTGGGCTGGGCGCGGGCAGATGTGCCGCGGTAATCCAGGTGCCTGCGCCATGCCTCCTAGCCCTTGCCACGCACCACATCGATCGGGTTGGTCTCGCTCCTGCCCGCCAGTTCCGCATAGTGGTGGGAGCCCGCCCCAACCTCTTGCACATAGCGCAGCAGCAGGTCGGCAAGGATGTCTACGCACGACTGCTGGCAGACGTCGAAGCCTGTTGCGTCGATGAGGGCGAGGGCGGAGATGCGGGCTGCCGCCTGGGCGTACTGGGCTGCCATTCGGCCTTAACTTTGTAACACGTGCACCGCATGTAAATGGGCTTCTGCATGGAGCGCCGCAAAAAAGTGTACCTTGAGGCGTACGGCGAAAAGAAACGAGGGGTTGCGGCAGGAAGCCAAGCGAAGACAGATGTATCCCCAGTGCCGTTGTGTTAGAACGTGACGAGGTTGGGGTGGGGAGGGGGAGCGGGGCAGGGCGCGGCCACGGCGGCGGCAGCGGTGGCGGCGGCGGCGCCGGCACGGGTGGCGGGGAGCGGGCAGCGGCGGCCAAGAGGCGGCGGCTGATCAATCCAGACTGACCTGCACCTATGTTTCCCCTCGATTTAACTCGCGGGAGCCAGGGGCTTGAACCCCCGTTTCCACCCAGTACGGCCGAAGTACAATCACGCGTCCAGCGTCTTCTCTTCGTCTTCTCTTCTTCTTCTTGGTAAATCAACGTGATTGTGCGCACCCGGGTGCCCAGCTATCGCCTTTTGATGAGTAATGGACGTTGTTTGGAGGCCAATGCGATACTCAGCGAGCGCGCGCGCCAAGACGGGCTCAGGGCACAAGGCATTGCCCAACACTGTTGGGGTGCTGAGAAATCGTAAATGAGCAGAATATTGGGAAGCGAGGGGTGCCAACCAAGCGGGTCCAGCCCGCTGAGTATGGCCAACACAGGTCAAGGGCAGGCCAGCACTGAAGTAACTTGTAGGCAAGATGCAGCCTGATCGGGACGGAGCAGCCCCTTGAACAAGCAGCACAGGCGTGCCCTAGTGCCTGTTCTTCAGGATGGTGCTCTGCTGTGTCCCCACCGGCGCTGTAGTTGGGTTGCCGGGGGAGGGCGGGGGGGTGATGCCAGCCAGCAGTTTGCGGAGCAGCTGCCGGGTGCACATGATGTGCAGCTGGGGTGCCCTGCTCGCGCACAAGATGGGCTTGTATGCGCTAAACAGCCAGTCTTTGCCGCGTGCTGCGCTAACTGCCGCCCACCCACTCCACCAACGGGGACGGCAGCCAAGAACAGGTTAACCGGCATTCTTCTTTGTTTTCTTTTCGCCTGGAGCAAAACAAGATGCACCCACACGGATTCGAACCGCAGACCTCTCGCTACTCAACAGAGCACTACTAAGCGAGTGTGATAACCTACTACACCATAGGTGCTTCATGTTCCTGGAACTTATTCTAACTCATATCACCGACATCTGAACCCTAAACCCTACCTCGCGCGGCCTCCCCGGGATGCCATCGGCGGCCAGATTTTCCTCGCTCTGGACAGCCGGCAGGGTTAGCGGGTTCGGCCCCAGCACATTAATGTGCCCAATCCCTGTAAAACACACACACACACACACACACGGCCTCCCTCGTCGTTGGCCGCGACGTTAAATAAGGAGCTGGATGAGTGCCGGTGGGTGATACCACAGGCACGAGTTCGAACCCCAGCCGGGACACTAGCTGGGACTTTGCCTCACGGCACCTTCGTGGCGGCATCTGGGCGGCGGACGGCTGCCCGGCAGACCGGCATGGCGCTTGCGAGACGGAGCCTCCCCGGGATGCCATCGGCGGCCAGATTTTCCTCGCTCTGGACAGCCGGCAGGGTTAGCGGGTTCGGCCCCAGCACATTAATGTGCCCAATCCCTGTAAAACACACACACACACACACGGCCTCCCTCGTCGTTGGCCGCGACGTTAAATAAGGAGCTGGATGAGTGCCGGTGGGTGATACCACAGGCACGAGTTCGAACCCCAGCCGGGACACTAGCTGGGACTTTGCCTCACGGCACCTTCGTGGCGGCATCTGGGCGGCGGACGGCTGCCCGGCAGACCGGCATGGCGCTTGCAAGACGGAGCCTCCCCGGGATGCCATCGGCGGCCAGATTTTCCTCGCTCTGGACAGCCGGCAGGGTTAGTGGGTTCGGCCCCAGCACATTAATGTGCCCAATCCCTGTAACACACACACACACACACACACACACACACACACACACACACGGCCTCAGTTCCCTGTTCATCGTTCCTTGCTCGAGTCCCCCGGCGCGGCCGGGCCCCGCGCCCCCCTCCCGCCCCTCTAGGGCCCTTCTTGAGCAACACCCTGCCTTGGGGACGCAGGACGAGGGCGACCGCAGCATCGCCGGCTCGCTTGGCCCGCCAGCCGCCCATTCTGCAACTGCCCGCACTCGAGATGGCCTCCTGATGGTGCGTGGAGGGGTGCCCCGGGCCCTGCGGCGCCCGCGGCTCGGCTAGTCCGGCGAACACCCCCTC